TTCATAAGATTGTAAGAAGATTGCAGAAATTTAATGATGTTTGTTTTTGTTTGGAGCCACATCTGGTAGTGCACTGAAATTACTCCCAGTTCAATGGTCAGGTTGTCAGAAATGGATCCCAGTCTTTTGCATGTATTTTCAGCCCTGTGAGCTATCTCCCTGGTCCAGATTACAGTGTTACATAGTAAATCCAAACTAAAAGAGGACCCATGAAAATATGAAGAAGAGCTAATAGTGGTAGCTGAAAAAGGGGTTCCAGAGAAGAGGTATCCTAGAGTAGTCTTGAAGGTTTAGCAGGATAAATCAAGAGAAAGGGTATTCCGGGTTGAGGACAGCTATGTTCAAAGGTATAGAGATAGGAAAATCGTTCAAGAAGCAATTGTCTATGTTTTACACACAGGGGGGAGGTGGAAGAAGAGGGTGTTTTGATGCTGGACAGAAGGGGCAAAGGTATAGAGATAGGGAAGTTGTTTAAGAAGCAGTTTTCTATGTCTTACATGCAAGGGGAGGCAGAAGAATAGGTTCTGATGATGTTGGACAGAAGGACACACAGTTCTTGGCAGAACAATCAAGGTAGACATGCAATAATCAATAAACATGCAAGGTAGACTCTGTCCTATAACTGCTAGGGAACCACTGGAATAATTCAGTAGAGAAGGATCATGAAATGACCATGTTTGTGTGTAAGTGTGATATGATAGTTCCTACCTAGATAATTAAGGGAAGGGGGACAAAATTGAAAGAAGCTTGCTCCTCAAGCCAAAGTTCTCCTCTTTATACATATTTCACTTGCTTGTTTCTTTGCTTGCCTATTTCCACTCTGGAGAAGCCTATGCTCTCTTGAACATGTGCTTATCCTTATCAATACCCTCAAATATTTCTAAATAAATTTCAACAACTTTTTCCTAAAAACACATATACACATACACACGCGCACGCACGCGCACACACACACACACACACACACACACACGTATGAGCCCTAAGACAAATAAGAACCCTAAACTAAACTAAAACAGTGACATTGGGGATGAAGAAGAGCGTGTGATTGAGTAAATGTTTTCTGACATAAATTATGCAATGACTCTGCCATTACTGGATTAATGTGGAGAAAAAGAGAACAAAGACCGAATGAAGGAATAATATTTCTGTTTTGGGTGGGTAACAGTGGTATATTATGGGCTAGAAATATTTGGGAGGAAAGCAGAGGTGGTGAGTATATTTGGTCATGTAGAGTTGGTGGTACCTATAGAAGAGTGAATACATACTGTTTGCTCAACAGAATTATGCAAGGAATATCTGCAGATTCGTGGGCTTCTTAAAGAACCCTCAGATAATCTACCTTTAGAGAGAATCAGAATACCATTGGTGAGGTCTGACAACCTGTGTGTGTGTGTGTGTGTGTTTGTGTGTGTTTAATACCCACAGAGTTCAGATGTATCTAGCCCACAATTATTGAGTGATACAACACAAACAAAATAGGAAAATACAGATTTAGGAGATTTTGCTTAGATGTGATTAGAGCCAAGCAAGGTAAGGAACAATTGCGAAAGTAAGAATAGTTTCTTTGACGCAGAATTTTAACGTTGCAACAGTGATTCTCCTTTGCATTACCAAACAAAGGAACTGGGTAATTAAAAGTGGAGAGTGGACTGTGAGACAATTGATCACTAAGTTGATATCTGTAAAATTCTCCTCCAAGCCAATGATGGTCTTCCTGTGTTTTTTAAATTTTGATTGTTATTTTCTTTCTTTAGAATTCACTTCCAAATTTTGGGCATTTAAGGTCCTCTCTCACATAATCTCAACTGACATTTCCATTCCCTGCTATCATCATCTCTAACATTAATTCCATGTGCCAGCAACAGTGGGCTTGGCTTTCTCTGAGAAAATCAAATATCGTATCTCTAGACTTCTCTTACTTCCTGCGATACTTCTCTTTGGTCCCACTTCTCTACCTAACTCATGCTTAGTTTTACAATATTTATTCATATTTTAATAGCATTGTTATGCATACCACTGTTCATTCTGCTGATTTGCATTAACCTTCCATTGCAAAGAAGGAAGGTAATTTTCTTATAAGTACATACATACATACATTTAAAAAAATTTTTTTTGTTTGGGGGTCACACCTGGCAGTGCTCAGGGTTTACTCCTGACCAGCTCAGGGGACCAAATAGGATGCCGGGAATTGAATCCAGGTTGGCTTCATGCTAGGCAAGGCTGTACTATCACTCTGACTCACGTTCAGATTTACTGATTAAAAGACACCTACTTCAATCTTTGAGTCCACTTTAACTATTTCATCTCTTATTTTTCAGAGACATCCTGTTTACAGTCATAGGATGGCTTTTTTTTAAATCTTCACTAGTATTCTACAAATAATTTGGGTGGATTTTTGTTAGTCTGTTTTTGAATCACCCATGCTGTGCTCCAGAAGCCTAGGCCCATCCTCATTGGTCCGTCAACTTGGCTGACTATTCTATGTGAAAGCATGAGGATGACACTGCTGCTGCAATTCTGCAGTGCTTGGCATTACTCAGGCCACACACACACGTTCAGGGGCCTCTAGGACTGCAGCTCACAATGCTTGGGGGACCAGTTGTGCCAGGGATAAAACTGAGACCAGCTGCACACAAAGTGGAGGCCTTAACTCCTGTACTCTCTTCCAGCCCTTTCTATAATTAGGGTTTTTGGAGGATTTTTTTTCGGGGGGGAGGGGGAGTTATATAAGAATCCCTATTTACAAACCTATTGATACTTAAATTTTAGTACATAGAATATTCTAGCACCAATCCCACCACCAGTGTCAACTTCCTTTCATCATTGTTCCCAAATTCCTTCCCACCTGCCCAGCCAGCCACCTGGACAGGCACATTATAAAGTTTGTACAAGTATGTATCAGTGCTGTTGAGTCTGTGACTTGGATATAGAGCTATGCCCCTCCCCCACATTACCAGTGTACCCAAGGACACTGACCCCTGCACTCCTGTTCTCCTTTACTCCTCCACCCCTGATTTCTTTCCTTCCCTGTCCTCCTCCACTTTGTGCTATGAGTCAAGGGTGATCTGGTCCCAACCCCACCCCATTTGCGACACTCTACAGCAAGTTTTTAAAAAATGTAGTCCCCTTCACTTTGTTGTTCTAATGACCAGAGGTCAAACACAGGGCCACACATACTTATCTGATTGCTAGACTCACACTCCTAGCTGAGGTGCTTCAGAAATTACACACTTTGCTCCTGTGCTGGGGACCCCAAACAGCAGAGCCTATGGGATCACACTCTGCTTGTGGGGGGATCACACTTGCAACTGACTGACCTCATCCTTACCATGTAGGCCTCTGAGAGACCCTCAGATCCTGCTATAGTTTGCTTGCTTGTTCGTTTGTTTGTTTGACCACACCCAGCAGTGTTCAGAGCTTACTCCTGGATCTGTGCTCAGGGGTCATTCCTGGCAGTGTTCAAGGGAGTGGGTGCCACAGGTGGAACCCATGTCATTTACATGCAAGGTATACCCAGTGTACTCTTTGTGGCCATGTAATTAATGTTTAAAGATTAGATTTTGAATGACTAAGTAGCAGACACTATTTTCTCTTCACAGTTGAGGGGTTTTATTTTGTTTTGTTTTGCTTTTTTTGGGAGGTGGGGGCATACCATGCAATACTCAGGATTTACTCCTGGATTTGCACCCAGCTATCACTCTTGGTGGTACTCATTGAACCATATTAGATGCCAGGGATCAAACCTAGGTCAGTTGTGTACAAGGAAGTGCCTTATCTGCTGTACTATCTCTCTGGCCCAAAGTTTCTATAACCTAATGTATGTAATATAATTATATGTATATATGAAATATGTTGGGCTGGAGTGATAGCACAGAGGTAGGGCATTTTCCTTGCACGTGGCCAGCCTGGCTGACCCGGGTTCGATTCCTCTGCCCCTCTCGGAGAGCCTGGCAAGCTACCGAGAGTATCTCGTTCTCACGGCAAAAGCCTGGAAAGCTACCCGTGACGTATTTGATATGCCAAACACAGTAACAACAAGTCTCAAAATGGAGACATTACTGGACCCACTCGAGCAAATTGATAAAATATGTTCATACTATGCTTCATATGTAGGATGAGATTTACGCATAATATTTCACAAAATGTTAGCTTGAACTAAAATTTCTTGAATATGAACTTGTAAAATTCATAGACCAAGATCTCAGAAATTCTATGTGCTTCAGTTCAATCTAATCATTTATTTGAATTTCAATAAAAGAAGCAGAAAGTTCCAAAGTAAATTTTAAACAAAAAAGGACTTATACTTTACAGCGGGTAGGGCGTTCGCCTTACAAGCGGCCAACATGACCGACCCGAGTTCGATTCCTCCGCTCCTCTCGGAGAGCCCGGCAAGCTACCGAGAGCATTCAATATGCCAGACACAGTAACAACAAAGTCTCCAATGGAGACATTACTGGGCCCGCTCGAGCAAATCGACGATCAACGGGAGGGCCTTTACCTTTACCTTTATACTTTAACATTTAGCTATCTACTCATTCAGTCCAACATTTTAAAAAGAAAGTCAAAGAGATTGATGACAAAAATAGACCACAGTCCACGTTTCAAACAGGCTAATATGAGAGAACAGGAGGTGCCAAGGATCTGCCCAAGTCTGGGTGACATAGAGTAACCATAAAACACATTTGGACTGTCTTTTAGGACGTCACAGTCTTGCTTTGTAATCTTGATAACCTGGGAATATACTCCCAATATTTTCACTGGGACAAGACTGAGATAGTCTCACTCTGGCTTTGTAGGTGACAGGCTTGATAATTCCTTCTTCTATATTCTCATCCAGAGAGTTGAGTTCTCCAACTAGCCCGAGTTTTCCAACTCTCAAACTGTGCCACTTGGTTTTTGTCACAGGTTTGCTATCAGTGCTGATTTTTACAAGATCAATGGAAAACGCACTGAAGATTATGTTTTAGTAAAGTTTGAAGAAATAGAGGGACACTTACTGATTTAGGATCTGAGAAGGTCCCAAGTCCAATAATAGGAATGCTGTTCCCATCGTTGAGGAGTATTCGGTGATTGGCAGCACTGAGTTCCATCTGGGAGAGAGTCAGGACTTGCACTCCGTAGAGCAGTTCTGCCACCACAGGAAGAGTCCTTTGGAAAAGCTGTCCTAGGTCCTATTTAAAACAGAAAGGAGGGCCAGAGGGAGTAGTGGGAGGAGAAAAAGAGAGTAAACAGGACTGTTTCTCAATCTGCTTTAAAAAAAAAAAAAAGAAAAAGAAAAAAAGAAAGAAGCGCTTATTCTGAACAGTCTTAATAAGGTTGTCCTTTGAACTTTATAGGCATGTAAATAATTCACAGAGTTTATGCACACTTCTGTGCAAAAGAAAATATTGAAAACAGTTAATTAGTCATTTGGCATAACAATAGTCTCTTGGAATTCTTTCCCTTTCTTTTAGTTTCTTTTACTAAGACACCAAAAATTTACAGAGTTGTTTCTAGGATGTTCCAATGTTTCTACAATGTTCCAACACCAATTTCCACACAAAGGTTCTCCTCCCTCCACCAAAGGTTTCCTTCTACCAAACCCCTAGCCCAGCCTGGCTCCTTGGCAAGCATATAAATAATTAATTTCATATTACTTGTTATTGCACGGCAAAGCCTGGCAAGCTATCTGTGACATCTTCGATATGCCAAACACAGTAACAACAAGTCTTACAATGGGAGATGTTACTGGTGCCTGATTGAGCAAATCAATGAAGGACAGTGCTACAGTGCTATTACTTGTTATAACAAACTTTAAGAACGTCGAAAAAGTTGTTAAGAAGACGAAGAATCTCCAGGTTTGGGCACATCCTTTGATTCCACTGTTCTTCCTGCATTAACATATGCCTCAGAGACCTGGGCCCTACGAAAACAGAATGAGAACGCTATTCGGGTCTCCCAAAGAGGAATCAAAGTTGGAATGGTTGGAATATCACGCTTCACTCAAATGAGAGAAAGAATCCGGAGTTCCGACCTCTGTCGACTATCAAGAATCAGGGACGTTGTCTCGTTTGCCAAGAAAATCAGATGGGCTGGACACGTAATGAGATTTGGAGACGACCACTGGACTAGAGCCATTACCAACTGGATTCCATGGGACGTCAAAAGATCGCGTGGCCGACCACCTATGAGATGGTCAGACTTCTTTGTCAAGACCCTGAACGATCAGCTTGAGGCTGTTCGCGTTCCTAGAACGAGCAGACACCATTGGGCTACACTGGAGCGTGGCAGGGACAAATGGAGGCGTTACTGGCACCCGCTCAAGCAAATCCATGTGTAATGGGATGTCAAGTGATCAAGTATCTTTTTTGGGAGGTAGGGTTTGGGCCACCCTGGGCAGTTTTTAGGTCTATTTTTGGCTCTGTACTCAGGGGTCACTCCTAGTGGAACTTGTATGCTGTTCCCAGGATGGAAGGGGGATTGACACATGCAAGGCAAACACTGTAAGTCCTGTACTCTCTTTCCAGCCCCTTAGTATTTCTTCCCTACAAATGCGTATTAAGAAAACTGATGACTTTGAAAAATATAGCTTTATTGACAAACATTTTACACACAGTACTATCAACCTATTCTAAGCCTACAATTCAGCAGTTTTATGTATATTCATGGATGTATAAAATGATTACCACACTCAATTTTAAGACGTCTTCATCAACACAAAAAGAAAACTTGTATGCTTTTCCAGTATTCCAGGCCCCTCAGTTATATACAGTGACTAGTCCATTTTCCATGTTCCTATATTGGCCAATTCCAGACATTTCATAACAGTGGAATAATATGCTGTGTCATCTTTTGTGACTAACTTATTTTACTTCACTTGTTTTCAAGATTCACTCATGTATCATTACTTTTATTTTTATGGTTGAATAATATTCTATTATATGGATCTATCATATTTATTTATTTATCTGTCTCTGGATTGAATTTGAGTAGTTTTCACCTTTTGATTACTACATTTAGGGCTGCTATGAATATTCATGAACATGTGTTTGGACAACTGTTCAATTCTTCGGGGAACATACTTCAGTCATGAAACTGGGTCATATGATAATTTAATATTTTGCTTATTGAGGAACCACAAAGCTGTTTCTCTCAGCAGCTGTACCCATTTTACATTTCCAGCAATGCAGGAGGGTTCAGTTAACTCTATGTTCCGACATTTAAAAAAAAAATTCAATCCACTTTATTTTTATTTATCTATTTGTTAATTAATTTATATTCTGCTGAGGTGTATTGGTTTAATTCTGTGTTTTTAGGGCTGAATTTTTTTTTCACATCTCTGCAAAATATGTGTTATCACACTGTAACCATCACCAAAATGTCAATCTTCCTCTATCAAAGTCCATCAATCTCTCTCCCCTCTCAAACCCTCCCTCCCTCTTTCCTCTCTGGTAACCTCAAGTCTATGAGTTAAATAAGATTTGTTTGCATTTGACCTCATCTATTCCACACTTTGCATCTCTATGTCATTCACATGAGTGAGATCATCTGGTATTTGTCTTTCTCCTTCTGATTTGTTTTACCTAGCATGACCCGTTCTAGTTCAATCCATGTTGTTGCAAAATGTAAGTAAGTAAGTAAGTAAAGGCCCTCCCGTTGATCGTCGATTTGCTCGAGCGGGCCCAGTAACGTCTCAATTGGAGACTTTGTTGTTACTGTGTCTGGCATATCGAATATTCTCGGTAGCTTGCCGGGCTCTCCGAGAGGGGCGGAGGAATCGAACTCGGGTCGGTCATGTTGGCTGCGTGCAAGGCAGACGCCCTACCCGCTGTGCTAAGACTTCAAATACTCAACTATTACTTTGAGTTGAGAGCCTGGCAAGCTACGGAGAGTATTCAGTATGCCAAACACAGTAACAAGAAGTCTCACAATGAAGACATTACTGGGTCTGCTTGAACAAATTGATGAACAAAGGGAGGACAGTGTTTGTTTTTGTCTTGACAGCATGACCCGTTCTAGTTCAATCCATGTTGTTGCAAAATGTAAGACTTCAAATACTCAACTACTACTTTGAATAGTGTTTCATTTTATATATTACATTTTCTTTATCCATCTAGCTGTCCTTTGGGCACTAGGGTTGTTTCCAGATCTTGGTTATTGTGAGAAGAGCTGCAAGGAATATAAGTGTACATGTATCTATTTTTAGCTACTGTTTTTGTATTCTCTGATGAGCCATATAGGAGTGGAATTGCTGGGTTATATGGCAGATCTCTAAAAAATTTTGGGTATTTTTCATACTGATTTATTATAGGGGCTAAAAATTTTACTCATACCCAGCAATAGAGTATGAAGTTTTCTTTTTCTCAACACTCTCACAAATACATATTTCTAGCCTCTTTTGATGAAAGAATTATGACATGATATCATGTTGTTTTGTTATGTATTTTTCTGATAATCAATGATAATAAGCATTTTTTATGTCCCTGACCTGGAAAGATAGTACAGCAGGTAGAGCACTTGCCTTGTATTCAGTTGACCTGAGTTCAATCCCCAGCATCCCATATGGTTCCCGGAGCACTGCCAGGAGTGATTCCTGAATACAGAGTCAGGAGTAACACTAGGTGTGGCCCCCAAACAAATAAAAATATGTTTTGTGTGTTCCTGCTGGATATCTTTATGTCATGTTTGGTGAACCGAGTATTCAGCAGTTCTCCCCATATTTTGACGGGATTCTTTGTTTTCAGGTTATTTTATAAGATCTTTATATTCCTTGAATATTAGCTCTTTTTTCCCTTGTTTTTGTTTGCCTTGCCATTATAATAGAATACAATATTGAAAGACAATATTATGGTAAGTTTTGCCTATTTACTTCCATCTATTTTTGGTTTCAGATTTAACACCAAGTTTTTAATCCATTTTAGGTTTATTTAGGTGCCTGGTATGAGACAATACAGTTGTTTTGTTGTGGGTTTGGTTTTTTTTTTTTTTTTGCATATAGTTATCTAATTTTCCTGACACCATTAACTGAAGAGACTACCCTTTCTCCATTTTCTATTCTTGGCCTACAATACAATCAACTGCCCCATATCTATTAGGATTTAATTCTGAAATCTTGATTTAATTTCACTGATCTTTGTGTCAATTTTTATTTATTTATTTATTTATTTTTGCTTTTTGGGTAACACCCAGCAATGTTCAGGGTTTACTCCTGGCTCTGCACTCAGGAATTACTCCTGGCGGTGCTCAGGGGACCATAGAGGATGCTGGGAATTGAACCCGAGTTGGCCGCGTGCAAGGCAAATGCCCTACCCTCTGTGCTATTGCTCCAACCTCTCTGTGTCAATTTTTATTCCAATACCTTACCGTTTATATTTCTATAGTTTTGTAGTGTAGTTTGAAGTTGGGCGGGGGGCATGATGCTTCCATTCTTCTTTTGTCTTAAGATTGATTTGGCTATGCAGGATCTTTGGAGGTTCGATATGAATTTAAATAATGTTTAAATGTTTCACTGTTTGCCTGATGAGTATATCTGGGAGTTTTATAGGGATTGCATTGCACCTATATAGTGCTTTGGGTAGTATAGTTATTTTAACCATGTTAATTCTTCTAATATAAACAGACGCCTCCCCAGCAGCATCCAAGGGCTTAGGGGTCACTCCATGTCATACGCAGGCCTGGTGGTTTGGGCCTGATTGTTCAGTGCTTGGGTCTGTGGTGCTGGGCACCAGTGAGCCATACTTGGCAGTGCTCTGGGAAACCTGGGGCACCCCATTCCTTTGAACTACCCCACAGCAATCTTCTTCAGTCTCTTTCAACAGTAACTCACAGTGTTTGATGTGCAAAGTTTTTTTTTTGCTTTGTTAAGTGTATTTCTAAGTACTTAATTTTTTTCTATGATTGTATATTTATGGTTGGATTAAACATATTTCCTCTTCTATTCATCGCTGCTATGAAGAAATACAACCTATTTTTGTGTATCGATTTTTAAGCCTGCCACTTTACTATATTGTTTTATTCTTTCTAATATTTTTTAATGGAACCTTTAAGATTTTCTATATATATTATGCCACCTGTAAATAGTGACCATTACACTTCTTTTCCAATTGGAAGCTCTTGGATTTCTTTTTCTTGTCGGCCCTATCCTGCCCTCCCGTTGTTCATGGATTTGCTCGAG